TATTCTGAGTATGCTTTCCCGGCTGTGTGCAGACCCTGGAGACTCCAATTGTTCCCCAGTGAAAAGCTCTTTGCTCTGAGCCACCTCCACCCCCAGGTTCCCGAGAAGAAGTAGGCCAGCACAGGCTCGCTCTGCTCCCTGCCCTTCCTGACGATGCACAGCTGGCATCTGCCCTCATGCTACAGGCAGAAGTTGTTCTGTCTCTCTGGAGGCGTGGAAGTGGATCGTGGACCCCAGGAGTGTGGAACACTTCTAGAAATCCCACCAGGCACCTAGAGGAACCCTCGCAACCAGCCTGGGAAATGGTATCATTCCCTCCAGTCTGTGGATGGAGAACCGGGGGCTCAGGGTAGGCAGCCACTTGGCTGAGACCACACAGCTGCTGAGTGCTGGTGCTGGGAGGTGAAGCCAGGCCTGCCTCAGAATCTAAATCTCTTTCACCATCAAGGGAGGCAGAACCCGCACCGTGTCCCAACCAGGGGTGCCCCTCGGCTTCCCAGCACAGAGAGGCTCAGGGCCAGTCCAGCACGGCAGCTGCACCGCTGGCAAGGAATCCAGGGACAGTTTGGTGTGGGTCCTTGGAAATAAGGCACTCCTTGCCATTCCTTGCTGACGGTGATAACAGTAACGACAATCATTTCAAAGTATTAACAACATGCCGGGCAAGATGCCAGGTCCACTGGGGAACGTTATCGCCTGTCCTTAAAAGGATACTTTCCCCCAGGTGGGTATGTCCCCATTTCACAGCGGAGGCTCAGGTAGGTGCCAGGGCTGTGTGAGCCTAAGCGTGATTCCAAAGCACGGGGCAGGAGGGAGCTGAGAGTCGCCAATCACATAACCCGGAGGAGATCCCCACAGCCTGCTTCCCCCACTCGAGAAAAATCCAGCAAACAAATTAGGCTCCACGAGCCCAGAGCCTGGGGAATACAGGGTGAGCCAGGAGTCAGCTGTGAATAATGCCTCCGTTCAGCAGCGGAGACCACGGCTTCAGGAAGGCCTTCAAGTCCCCTCCGACCACAGCCAAGGTGCCGGGGTTAAATGGAGAAATACCCTCCCGGGGGCCAGAGGGTCCCCAGACTTGGGCTGGCAGAGTGACCCTTCAGTCCTCAGACCCCCGGGGGCAGCCCAAGTGAGGTCTTTTCACATGGGGGCAAAGGACTGGCTTTTCCTTCCAAGCCCATTCTTGGGGGTGGGGGGCTGGGTCTGCAGCTCTAGATTAGTCCAAATGGGGCTTGGCCAGTTGGGGTTCCCACTGGTGGGGGGCTCCCACATGAAGGCCTGTGGGAGGCCTCCCCAGCTAGGAGAAGCAGCAGCCAGGAGGGTGGGAGCCGGACGCCCCACGCCCCCCACTCCCCCAAAACACACCCCGCACTTCTCCCGGGCTGGTGCGGGAGGAAAGGTGAGCCGCCCAGGAAGGCTCTTCCCGGTGTAAACACATCCACGGAAAGGAATGTGCTGGAAGTGCGGGGCTGGGCCACTGGAGCTGCAGCCAGCTGGGGTAAATTTAGACAGAAAAAACAGTCACCCCAGGACTCAGACGGCTTTTTGTGAAACTCGGAGTCTCCCGGGCCCCCTTCTGCTGAGGCCGCGCATCCTGGGCGGGAGCGCCCAGGGGGACCGTCCGGGCGCAGCGCAGCCCCGGGCCGGCCGCGGGGAGGCCAGGCCGCGGCGGGCCCCGGCAGCGCAGCAGGCGCGGGTGGGCGCGCGGCCGGGCAGGGGCCGGGCCCTCCGCACACGGGGCTCTGGGGTCGCCAGACCCGGGAGCTGTCTTACAAGCGATCAGACTCCATTTTGTGACAGATTTTTGGACTCCCACCGACCCTCCCCCCTTCCGGAGCCTCCTCCAGGAATTCGCCACCTCCTCAGGATAGAAACCCTTTCCAGACGAGCGACAGACGCAAGACAAGACTTACATAATTCTACTTGGCCAAGCCGCCCAGAAAGAAAATGGGGGGTGGGGTGGGGTGTAGGTTGGTGTGTTTTGTTTTGTTTTTTTTTTTCATGCTGCTCAGGTGGAGGAAGGAGAGGCGCTGCAGCTTTGCGTGGAGAGGCCGAGCTCCCTCCCGGCGTCTCACCCGGCCTTAGCAGGAGCTCGGGCTGCGATGGGCCAGGAGAACGATCCAAGGCTTTTATTATTATTATTTTTTTTAAAGAACAAACCCCCAAAATTGCTTACGGGGCTGGGGGGGTGGGGAGGAGACTTTTCGAGTTATGCAAGAAAATGCCCCAATACACGTCTCGCGCTCTGCCCTGCCCTTCCAGGGCGAGAGGGGAGATTTTCTCAAATACTATTTAAATGCGCCCGAACGTCAATTAATCACCCCTGTGGTGCGTAAAATAACGTGGCGCTTCTGAGTGTCAGATCTTAACACACAAACGCAAAGGAAGAAGAGACGCCTACGAAGCCAGCAACCTCTTTCTATGCACCGAGCCCAGCAGCTCCTCGCAGGACGGAGACACGTTTTTCAAAAGTTCGGGGGTAGGGGGTGGTTTGCTAATTTCCCAATATCGCTGACGCAGACTCCACAAAATCAAGAAGGCACGTTTCTGCGCCCCCTTGCCTGGATGCTCGTCTGAAAAGCATTTACACACAGATGCAATAAATATGCATCTGCGATCCTCAAAGAAAAAAATCGTGAACTATATTTTTATTGTGCAGAGAACATCGCTTCCCAGTGAGCTCCTGCCTCCCTCGCTGGCCGCTCTCCCTGGAAACGCTGATGCGCCCGACTCCCCGGGTATGCGTCCAGGGATTTCCACCACCACAATCCCTCCTCAGCCCCCAACCCGCCCACCTAGTGCAGATACCTAACTGGCATTATTGGAAGAAAGAGGGGTGAGGGAGGAGGCGCGGGAGGGGCGTGAATAATGCTCGCCCTCAGGCTGCAGCCGGGGAGGACCCCTCTCGGGATTCTGGACCCGAGAACGCCCTGCTCCAAAATCCACTCACAAGCCCCCGCCTCCTGCACCCTCTTCCCCTGCACACAAGAACCGAGCTCTTAGGTGACCTTATTTTTCTTTTTTAAAACAAATATTCTTCCTAGCGAACAATCACAAATGTTTAATGTCTAATTGTTTTGTAAATGAGGGGTTGGCCTCTCAGCTGTAAGGAAACACTCGGATCAAATTTGTGACTTCGCAGTTTCTGTGTTCTGAAGAGCCAGGGCACATTCTCTCCTTGTTTTAAAGAGAAGCTTCATAAACTACTGGGAAGATGGGGTGGCGGTGGGGGAAGGTCAGGCAGATATGCACAGAGGTTGGAAAAAGTCTTTCCATATGCAAAAAAATAATTTTTTTCAAAAACCTGCACGAATGACTCGGAAGCCATTTCCAGTGGTCTGGACCTCTTGCCCTCATGTGCTGAATTTTCCAGGCTGGTGGCTGAGTGGGAAGTGGTACTGCCAGACCCGAGCTGGGACTGCCAAGCAGAGCAAGCTAAGGGGTGCGGGACGGCAGGGTGTGGGTGGGCTGGAGGTTGGGGAGCCCTGCGAAACCACATCCACTTTCTGTCTTATTTGTGCCGCTCTCTGCCTGCCTGGCCCCGCACCTTGTCTCAGCACTAGAATTCCACCGGGACACAGCACACACTGACCAATGGCACTGTGCCTAGCCTGGGGTGCTCCGTGTGGAGGGGGAGTCCTCAGCTGGGCTCTGGGACCAGAAGGAGAGCCGACTCTGACTGGGATGCATTCCTTCCCCAGAACCCCCAGTTGGCAGGAAGAACAAGGCACAAAAAGCAACCCCTGCCAGGTCACTAGACCAGGAAAGTAGAGTCAGGTTAGAGGCTGGCATGGGGCTCACCAGCGCCTTTCAGAGTTGAACCCCGCGCCCTCTCTGGGGCTCCCACTATTTCCAGGCCTCAGACAAGCTGCTCCGCCTCCAGTCAAGGTCTGTGTTCAGGACAGTCCCTGGACAGAGCAGGCAGGTTGCCTTCACCACTGGCAGCTGGCAGTCCGCAGCCCTGACCCCCCAGGCTTGGGCACCCGAGTCCCTGACCACCTGAGCAGCCCCCATCTGAAAGGGTTTTTCAGGTCTCACTAGAAAGTTCTCACAATCGCCCACTTGTCTCTGTGATGCGACCCTGGGGATCCCACACCTCTCTGTCTCCCTCCCAGTCACACAGCCACAAAACCCAGAGAGTCAAAGAAAGAAACTGCATCGAATTTTATGTATCTCAGATCCTTTCCCAGACAAATCCGTGGTCTCTGCTAAAAACAAAAGTGACCAGGTACAGCTCTGGCCTCAGTTCTCAGGTCTGGGCTAACTAGGGGCACAGCAGGCCACCCCCTCCCCAACGCTTTCACACCACCGGAGAGAGACCTGCTGGGAGGGCTAACTTGGTCAGGTCCTCATCCCCATGGGGAGCCCCAGATTGTGGTTTGCCACCTCTTCAGGTCCTCTCCCCAGACCCCTTCTCCAGCCAACAAAAATCATAAGCGCAACCTTCCCGCATGGAACGGTCTGGGGAGGACACTCTTCTCTCCATCAGGGACTAAAGGTGCAGCAGAGGAGGCGGGCATCTCTGTGTGCTCAGGTACTGCATCACACCAGCTACTCCACCTCCTTGCTCCCGGAACCCCAAACTCCCACAAACCCCGCCTCTGGGCTGGGGAAGCACACTGCCAAGGCCTGGCTCCCTACACCACTGCTTTCGTTTGGAAATCATTTTTTGATCCCCAATTCAGGCCTCCGCGGGGCCAGGCCCTGTCCCGGGATGCGGCATCATATGCACCGTTTCACCAGGGGCCTTGTCTTGTACCCCAACTCTGCCGCCGGGTGCTGCTTCCCAGACAAAGGGTGGTACCTAGTGCCGGCTGGAGCCTCCCTCCGGGTCACCCCACCAGTGTGGGCCCGGCTGTGAGGGTTCGCCCGGCCGGAGACGCTCGGCCCGGGGAGCCCTGCGAGGGGACGGCCCTGCGGCGGGGAGCAGGGCCGGCGGCTGGGCAGACGCGGGCCGGCCGGCAGCGGGGCCGGGGTGCCCGCGGCGGGAGGGCGCTTACTGTTGGTAGTCTTGTTTGCAGTAGAGTTTGCGATCCCGGAAGTAGCAGCTGGTGGTGAGGGCCTGCTGACACGCCGCGCACTGCAAACACTCCTCGTGCCAGGACGACTCGTTGACTCGCATCAGGAAGCGGTCGGAGATGGGCCGCTGGCAGCCCTCGCACACGGCGGGATGCGGGCAGTCGGAGCCTGCGGCGCACAGGGCAGAGCCGCGCGGTCAGCGCCCACGAGCCGGCCGCCGGGGCCCGGCCGCGCGGTGCCCGCGGCTCCGCGTCCCCCGCGAGGGCTGCCCCGGAGCGCCGTGCGCCGCCTGCGCGCCCACGGCCGCCGCGCCCGGGCCGGGCCGCCTCCCTCGGCCGGTCGGTGCCGGAGCACGGACGCCAGCGGGGAGAGGCCGCCGGGCCTCCAGCGTCGGCCCCGCGCGGCGCGCCCCTTCTCCCGAGGCCCGGCGCGGGGGCTGACACCGCCGGGAGCACGCGCGGCGCGGGGTGGCCGGCCGGGACCCCGGCCGGGGAGGCGAGGTTGGGGCTGCCCGCTGGTGACACGCCCCAAGGTGGCTTTCGTGGTCTTCTGTCCCCAACCACCGCCCCCCCCCACCGGGTTTGGGTTGCCCAGGGGACATTTTCTTCCTCGTAGAAGCTCCCGCTCCCCAAGGGGCCTGGCACCCCCACCCAGCGCGGTGAGGCGACTGCTCGGTCCCCCACCGGCCCTGACACCCGCCTCCTGACCCCGCGGAGTGGCGGCTCCAGGACGGGGCGGCGAGGATGGCGAGCGGAGCTCGCGCGCTGGCCTGTCCCCCTCCTCCTGAGCGCCGTCCCTGCACCCCGTCCCCTCGGGGCGCCGGTCTCCGCTGGCGAGCTCCCCAGGAGCGCACCCTGCTGTCCCGCAAACCGTTTCCCGGCCCGGCCGGGCGGCGCGCCCGCGTCCACTCGGGCCCGAGCCCCGCGCCTGCCCGCGCCCCGTCGGGCGCCCGGCCCCGCGCTCACCCAGCAGCACCCCCAGCGTGGCGGGCCCGGGGCGCAGCGCGTGCTCCTCCATCTTGATGCCGTCCAGCATCTTGGCGCAGTCCGTCTGCCCGCGGGGGAAGCACCGCTCCAGCGACTCGGGACCTGTTGCTATATCCATGGGGCGCGGGGCGCGCCGCGGGCCCCGCCGGCCAGGGTGCTCGCCCGCCCGCCCTCCCGCCGGCCCGCCGGCCCGCCCGCCGCCGCCGGGGCCCGGGAGCCGGGGAGGCGCGGGGCTGCGGCCGGGCGGCCGGCTGTCCCGGGCGGGCGCGCAGCGGCGGCGCGCGGGCCCCGGGCCCCGGCGGCGCGCGGGCGGGCGGCGGCGGCCGAGTCCTCGCCGCGCCCCCGGGCCGCCGCCTCGCGCGCTGCCTGTCACCTGCTCGGCGCCCCGGGCCGCGCGGACGCGGCGAGGAGACCCGGGCGGCGGGCGCGGCGGCGGCGGGCGCGGCGGGCGGGGGAGGGGGCGGGGGTGCAGGGGCGGCCCCGCGGGCCGGGGGGGCGCGGGCGGCGCAGCGGGGTCCCGGGCGGGGCGCAGCGGGCCGCGGGGCTCCGGGCGCGCTCCCCGCGCTACTCCAGTGCCATGGTGCGCCCGCCGCGCCGCTCGGTTTAGAGCCGGGGCCGGCGGCGGAGGGATACCCGGCCCGCCGCCTCACGCGCCTCAAACTTCCTGACATTTGAACTCATTGGCGCGCCGCGTATCCCTGCGCCGGGATGCGCCGGCGGCTCCACGTCAAATAGTGCCGGCGCCGCCCCCCCCGCGGGCGGGCGCCCCGCGCCCCGGCCCGCGCCCCGCGCCCCGCGCCCGGCCAGACGCCCGGCCGCCCGCGGAGGAGGCCCGCGCCCCGCCCGGGGAGAGCCCGCCCGGGACGGGGCAGCGGCCGCCGCGCGTCCCCTCGGCCTGGGCGCTGGCGGGGCCCGGGCCGGCTCCGGGCGGCGCGCGGGGCTCCGAGGGCTCCGAGGGCTCCGAGGGCTCCGCGGCCCCGGCCCGACCGCCGCCGAGGTAGGTGCGCGGGCGGCGGCGGCCCCTCCCCGCGGCCGAGGCTCCGCGCGGCGGCCGGGCCGGGCTCGGGGCGCGGGGTCCCGCGGGCGCGCGGCCCGGCCCGGGGACGGGAGGGCGGCCCGGCCCCGGCGGGGGCTCCGGGCGGCGCCGGCCGGGGAGGCCGAGGAGGCCGAGCGAGGCCCGGGGCGGCCGCGGAGGGGCGGGCAGGTGGGAAGGTCAGGCTCGCGGTCCTCGGGGGCCGGGCCGGGCCGGGCCGGGGTGGGCAGGCGGGCGCCGCGGCGCGGGACCTGCGGGGAGGGGCGCGAGCGGCCGCGGGGGCCCCACGGTCGGAAGCCCGGGACGGCGAGCGTTGGGGCGCCCGAGGGGAGTCGGGTCGGCGGGTCTCGGCGCGGAGGGGCCGCGCCGGGCGGGGGCCGCGCTCGGCCAGCAGGGCCCGCGCGCCTGGGCCGCCGGAGCCGACGCCGGCGAGACGGAGCGGGGCCCGGGCGCCCGCACAGCCCGGCACCCGCGCGCCGCGCCGGCCGCTGCGTCCCGCCGAGCCACAGCCCGCGGCCGGCCGGGCGGCGGGTCCCCGCGGACGGCGGCCCGCCCGGGAACTGGGGGGCCGGGGCGGTCGGGGAGCCGGCGCGCACGGACCTGGCGAACCGCTGCGGGGCGGCCCCCGCCCCTCCCGGAGCCGCGCAGCGGTGCGGAGCGGGGCGGGGGCGGAGGGCAGGGGAGGCGGGTCCCCTGACCCCGCTGGAGGCGAGAGGGCGGATCGGATTTGGAGCCTGCGGGAGGCTCGGTCAGAAGTGGCCCCCTGTGCCGCGGGGCCCCGCGGAGGGGCCCGGCTTTGTGGGGGATTAAAGGCTCCCGCCCCGGCCCGGTACCTGCCTGTGTGTCGGTGGGTGTCTGTGTGTCTGTGCGGGCGTCGCTCCCTCCCCCCGAAGCTCTGGCGCGCGGGTGCGCCCGGGGCGCTGGACACCTCCAGTGTTCTGTGTCCCTGCGACTTTCGGGGCTCAGAGTGTGTGAACCTGGGGCGCATCCCCCTGCGTCCTTGCGTGTGTGTCTGGGTGCGAGTCTGTGGGCATTCGATGCCCGGGGCTTCTGGGTTTGGAGTCTTTGTGTGTGTCCCTCTGTCTGTCCCTCTGTGCGGTGCGCACTTCTTTGTGCGCCTCTCGGCCGCCGGGTCGCGCCGGGCTCCTCTCCTGCCCGCGCGTCTCCGCGCCACCCTTGCTGGTTTGCACGTAGGAGTTTCTGATACTTGTGTGTGCTCGTGTGTCTCGCAGAGTTTTGAGGGTTTGGGGGAGGGCGGCGTGTGGCTTTGTGCGCGCGCGTCTGCCTGTATGTCTTCGCCTCTTTGTGTGTCTGTGTCCAGGAAGGGGGGTGAGTGGATGTGGAGCTTCTGTCACTCGCCCCGGGCCCCTGCCCTGTGCAGTCTTCCAACCTCGACCCTGAGCTCCGGCGCCCGGGCCTGGGCCGCCTGGGCCGGCATCTGGGGCGCGGGCGCGGCTGCCTCCGGGAGCAGCCGGGCGGGCGAGGCTCGCGCGCGCACAGCCGGAGGCGCAGAGTCGGAGGGCGGACGGGCCGTGCGCTTTCTGCCCTCTGCTGGCAACGCGGCCTCCCTGCACCGCTGTCGGGCGGCGGCCGGCCGGGCTCAGGGTCCTGGCTCCAGGCTTAGACCGCGGCGTTCTCTGTGAGGGCGCCCCGGGGTCCTCTTCCACCCCAGACCCTGGACTCCAGACTCCTCCGAGTCCCTTCCACCCCTTCCCGGCTCTCCTACCCCCCACCTTCCCAGTGCCCAGCTTCTTCCGCTCCGCACGTCTCTTCGACGGAAAGGGGCCTCCTTTGGCCGGGCCTCGAGGTTTTGTGAGCTTCCACTGGCCGCCAGAGCCCAGTGGGGCCTCCTGCTGCCCACGGTCTCGCTCCTGGGGCCTCCTGAAGTCTGTGTCTTAGCGCAGAAGACGCGCCGGGGGAGACTCCCCTTTCGGGAGTCTGGGCTGGTCTGTCCTGTGTGCACAGAATCTTGGCCGGCTCAGGCCGCCAGCACCCCTGCCTTCCTCACAGCCAGCGGCCAGCTAGCGTGGGGACCGGGGAGAGTGGCGCTTAGGGCCCGGGAAGCCGTGAGGTGTGGGGGCCCATCCCAGGTGCGGGGTACCTCTTGGTCTGGGGGCAGGACTGCTTAGCCCACAAACCCCGGGGCTCCTCTGCCCTTCTCTGTATTCACTGCTGATGTGTCCCCCCGCCGCCCCCACAGTCTGGCTCACCCTCTAGGCCCAGCTCCTTGCCCTTCGCTTGCCTCTGCTCCCATGCCCTGGGTCCTCGCTCATGGCCGCCAGAGGCCCCTGGTCTCTCCCAAGCACTATCCCGGCTCCTGAGCAGCTTCCGCCGTTGAGAGGAGACTGGACAGCGGAATGGGGCCTAGGTAGGGAGTCCACGCAGCCCTGGGCGAGGTGGCCAGCGCCACCTTCCTCCAGTGGTGGGATGGGTACCTGCTGATGCCCCTGGGCACCCTGGGCCCGTGGTGGCAGCCCTGCTGGCCCCAGTGCATTCCGGCCAGTCGGGATTCTCTCCGGTCAGACTTAGCCAAGAAAGAGCTTCTGATTCCGCCCCACCGTGCTGGCGGTTTGGAATCCCTTGGAAAGAAGAAGGAATGGAGTGAGAAGCTGTGGAGGGGGGAAGGGGAGCATCTTGGGTCCCCCCACCCTGCAGATGCCCCACCTCCCACCTCCACTGAACCCTTCACTATCCACGTCTTGCTCCCCTCCTTAGGGCCCTGCATTCCTCACCGGTGAGGTACCCCAGGGAGCAGTGGGGCTCTCTCCACTCCCCGCGCTGTGCATCTGACCTGACTGAGAGGCTGGGCCACTTGAGGCTACAAACCCCAGCGCAGGACCAGAGTCCTGGGCAGGGGCGGAATGTGGGCGCAAGGACCGGGAGCCCTACGTTCCACGCCGAGCCCGGGCTGCCGGAGTGCTCAGGCCCATTCTCCCCTGCCCAGGCACCACTGGCACCTGCGATGCTCGGATCCCTGGCGGAGGGCGGCTAGATTGGACCAGAGACACCCCAACACATATTCCCATCTGCAGCCTGGGCCAGGGCCGGGAGCTCTGCAAGCGGAGCCCAGAGACAGCAGCACAGAAGTCCGAGCCTTCCCTGGCCCCCAGCCGTGCTTGACCTCGGGACTGGTGGGTCAGAGGCTCAGGCCCCTGCTCAGCTAGCAGAGATGGATGTGCGTGATCAGTCCCCTCCCCGCAGCTGGGAAAAGTGTCTATGGTCTTCTGACGCCCGGGGGCTCAGAGCCCTGAGTCTGGTGGAGGTGCCCATATCTGAGTGACTCAGGAGGGGGCCAGGCTGGGTCCCTCTGGCTCAGGGTTGGGAGCAGGTTCTCACACTCCCACCTGGGGTTTTCTGGGATTTTTGGCAGTTTGCTGGTGAGGCACCACGTATGTCGCCCTGAGACTGTGCTGGTGGATGCCCGTGTCCATTGTGGGGGCACCATCCGGCCCCCGCAAAGCCCCTCTGTCCTCCCTCCAGCCCAGCCTGACCCTCGGCCATCTGGCCGGGCCTCTGACCTTGGCCTTCCAGAACAAGGTCCTGCTCATTAGTCATGGGATTCCCCTGGTGGGGCAGGAGATCAGACCTCAGGTCCAAAGGCTGCTGGGCCCTCTGGTGGGAGCTTCGAGAAGGACGGTGCCAGGCCAGGCGGAAGTTTGCGGCGGTCCAGAGCAGGCCCCCGGGAGTTCCTCCATCCTGGTTCAGGGAAGTCCTGCGCCTCAGCTTCCTCCTCTGCAAAGTGGGTGTCACACCAGCATCTAGCCCACAGGGCTATTGAGAGGACACCACGGGAGTGCTCAGCACAGTGCCTGCACACAGTAGGCGTCTCTAAATATTTTTGAATGGTTGAATGAAAGGGAGTCCCCAGGGCTGCCGCCTCCTGCTCTCATCAGGGCCTGAGCTAGCCGCCCATCTCCCGTTAGGGCAGGTGAAGCTCATGGCCGGGCAGCTGTGGACTGGGCACCTGGGCATCCCCTGCACTGCCCAGACATCCAGCACGACAGCCACAGCCTGCGCTTGCCCTGGGTCTGTAGCGTGGGGCTGGGCTGGCCCTCCCAGCCAGACCCCTGGAGGGCAGCGGAATT